ACTCTGTCTCTGGTGAAGCCTCTCACCGCCCCTGAGCCTCTGGCCTGTACCCCAGTTCTGTATGCACAAACAAATAAACCTTTAAAAAAAAAAGTTTCTTCACTAGAAAGAACAGCAATATTTTCTGAGGAATATTAATGCATTTGAATTCCCTATCACTTTTTCTATTTATACGAAGAAGTAATTTTGCTGGTTTATAAAAATGTTTACTTAAAACAAATATTGGGCTCTTATTTCCTATTCAATTTAATAGCAAGTTTTACTAAGACACTTAATTTGAAAAACAGCAAGAAAAGATATCCTTGAATATTTTATTGATCATAAAATGTATATATATGGATGGAATATAACACAGAGGGACATAAACAAAGAAAAGAAAGATATATATGCTTCCAAAGCAGCTGTAACTAGAATGGCAAATCAAACAGAAATCATGGTTATTGAAAGAACTGGACATTTATCAGAGACACAGGACAGGAAAAGAATAGGAAAAAGTAGTGTCTTTAACTCTCCCCAAATACTTCCTCATCCAAATTGGTGTTTTTTTTTTTTAAACAATAATCACTACAACTGTTAGTACACACACAAAATTATTTGACCAATGTTTTCTCCTCTAATAGCCTATAACTTTCAATGAACAATGACTTGACAACATAACTAACTCATAATAGATTCTCAGTAATACCTGTTGAACATCTTTTAAAAGTGGCAATTCTTTTTTAAAGAAAACTCACATTGTTTTAGGTTGAAGTAAACCATAACAAGTTTCATCACTAGAAAGAACAGCAATATATTCTGTATTATTCCTATAAAACCACAAAACTTTTTTTTAATTATGATGTTTATGAGGTTATAATGATTTATAATACTGTTAATGTTTTAGATTGACAGGGTCACACCTCTACAAATGTATGTGTCACACCCTTCTCACCTCCAAAGCCTCAATAATCCTCCATGGAACTCCAGTGGGCCACTCTCCCTTTATGGTAGCGTCAGTTGTCAGAAATTTGCTGTGAAGTAAGTTGACTCATATTGCTATGACTGATATGTTTAATCTCACGTCTACATATTATTTTACTATAATGTTACACATAATTTTTTATTTGCTATATTTTTCTGTACATGTCTTTCATGATTTTTTTAAAAATTTTTTTTTTTTAAGATTTATTTATTTGTACATACAGAACTGGGGTACAAGCCAGAGGCTCTGGGGCGGTGAGAGGCTTCACCAGAGACAGAGTGGAGAAAAGGCAGATCAACACTGCTAAGGGGAGCAGCGGGTGGGTCAGGAGAGGTCTGCCTCGCCATGTCACCTCTGGGGCAGGCGGGAATCGAACTCATGAGGAAGCGGCTTCAGATTCTCAGTGCTATGCTTTTACCCACTGTGCCACCAGGGAGGGCCGTCTTTCATGATTTTTAAAATAATTTTTTCATATTGAAGGAGGAAGATTTCTTGTTCTAGGAGTTACTTTTACACTTATGTGTTTTTTATCCTTTTCAAATAAAAAAACAAACATGTACTATCTTCTTGTTACTTTTAAATTATATTCTTTAATGTTCAATGTATTAACCAGACAATAATCAATGGACTTAAGTCTGCCCTGTTTTTAATTCTCTCATTTAAAAGACCATGTTCTTTCCACTTTATCAGACCATCTACTGACCTTATGCTATTCTTCAATCCTTGTTCACTGTTTTTGTGTTAGATTTATAGTTAAATAAATGTTCAGCATCAATTTGTCAAAGATTGCCCAGTTATCTCTTGGTTGGATGAACATCATCCCCTCGTACATACCAGACAGTAGGACTTACTGTGAACTTACTGTGATGGATATATTCTCACAGGCAGAAATTGTAACCAGTAGCTACTTAAGGGTACTGAGCACTTGAAATGTTACTAATGTGAGAAGGAACTGAATTTTACCTTTAGTTTAATTTATTTATTTTTATTTATGCATACAAGAACAGAGGTATAGGCCAGTGTGTGGGCAGGGTGGATGGTAGGGACAGGTGAGAGGATTAACCAGAAAGAGAGTGCGGAGCAGAACAGGCAGATCTACTGAAATACACTGCTGAGGGGAGCAGTGGACAAAGTATGAGAGGTCTGCTACACCATGGTGGCTTAGCTCCTTGGCAGGGGATATAACTTATATTGTAGTGGCTACTGATAGCTTCTTAGTGCTGACACTTAACCCCTTGCGCCACCAAGGAGGACCTAATTTAACTTTAATTAATCTAAATTTAAAATGTCACATGTGGCTAAAAATACAAAATTAAACAGTACAGTATCACTGGATTCATCAAGGTAGAATGTGCACATTATTCAATGAATACACATTCAAAACTTTTTCTATAACCTGTGTACCTGAAAAACAACTTGGTTATAATATCCTTGGTTTATGCTAAAAATGCTGCTCACGCCACTGGTGTCTTTCTTTGTATATTGCAGATGATGTCTGATATTGTCTTTGTATATAATCTGGATTGTTTTTAATGATGCTTTCAGGATTTTTCCACTTCAAAAATCCAATAGTTTTAAAAGGGTATATTAAAGAATTGACCATTCCAAGTGAGTTTTATGATGCAAAAGTGTAACTTTCAATATGTATATTTAGAGCTCTCTTGTCCAATAAGTTTTCTCAAATTACAGTTTTAAAACATAAATTCTGAAAAAATATATATGAATTTTTCCCATTATATTGTTTTTCTTCTCCAAAGACGCCAAGTACATATATGTTGGACAATATTAGCCTGTCTTCCCTTTAAATCACCTTTTCTGACCCTTTTTTATTTATCTCATTTTCATTCTCTCACTGTTTATCTTTCTTAAATAGCCTTTATTAAATATTCAACACACTGTAATTCAGTCTTAATTTCTTTCTTAAGCAATTCAATTTTATTTCTTTTTGAGAGGAAAGTAGGTTGTTTCTGTTATTAGTTTTAAATTTTTTTGATTCCTTTGTTTGGGTTATTTAATTCAGTAAAGAGTTTTGTGTTAAATTTTTATCCTGCTTTATAACTAGCTGTGGGGGAAGAACTTCTATGAGTTAAAAGGTTTTGACTCACATTTTGTTTTCTTTCCTTTTTGGGGGGTTAGTTTATAATTCTTCTGTAGGTGGAATAAAGGTTTTGGGTAGATCAAAAGATTTCTACTCAAGATTGCCTTCTTCTGTCAGGATATTGAAATTCAATGTCCTTATTCATAAATTTACTAATTTTGTGGGTAGAAAAAAGGGTTCTTTTTCTTTGGTTTCAGTAGGATTTTAAATCCTCTAACTTCTTTCTTTTTTCTTATCAACACCTTCCCAAAAGATACCTCTCCATTTTGAATTAATTTCCCAACTACATTCATTCAAAATATAGTTCAATTTATTGTCAAGGTCTGTAGAGTTTTAATTCAGAAATTTCAGGGTATGATCAAGTATAATAAAGAATAAAAAAATTCAGAATCCATTTTAGAGATAAATGAGAAAAACAGTCCATCTAAACACTATACATCAATTTTCAGGTGTTAAACATACCTGTGAGAGCTAGATATGACGCAGTATACCGCTTTTCAAGTCCATCTTTAACACTTTGAATTGCACCAAAAATTGGAGGTATAATCATAATCAGGTTACTCACTGTATTCCCTGCAGGAAAAAAAAAAAAGCACAAAAATATTATTAGGTTAATAAATAATACTTTAATTAAAGACATATTCACTTGACCTTCAACAAAAATTAGATGACTTCTCAGAAAGTTGAAAGATTTTTTTAGGTATTGAAGAAAATTCTCTATACAACAAAAAATATTTATATGAATTCAAGTAGAATAAAGATGCTTTTACCCAAATGAAACTAAAATTTCCCACCAGAACACCCACTAAAGGAAATTCTAAAAGGGAAAGGGAAAAGAATCAATTTATAAAAAGGAAGGAAAAAGAATCCCAGTGGCCCTCTCTGGTGGCCCAGCAGGTTAAAGCACTGCACTAAGAAGCTTAAGCCACTTCAGCATGAGTTCGATCCCCGCCTGCCCCGAGGAGATCCACATGGCGGGGCAGACCTCTCCTGACCCGCCCGCTGCTCCTCTCAGAGGTGTACTTCGTGAATCTGCCTGTTCTGCTCCCCAGTCTGTCTCTGGTGAATCCTCTCACCTCCGCATCTCTGGCCTGTACTCAAGTTCTGTATGAATGAATAAATAAATCTTTAAAACAAACAAACAAAAAGAATCCCAGAGATACAATTCAATTCAAAAATTGAATTGGAAAAGGCAGCATATGTCACGACTTCTCAAGGATGGCCTAAAAACAGCCTACGTGTTCAAAAACAGATGAGTGAACCAAGAATATGTGGTGTATATATACACACGGAATACTAGTCAGCAATCAAAAAGACTCTCAAAATCAATTCAAAATGATAAAAGACTTGGACGTAGATCTGATGTAAGATCATAAAATACATAGAAGAAAACATAGGCAGGGCTTCCCTAATGGCACAGGGGTTTTAAAGTCTCAGCTCTATCACTATCTCTAGCCACGGAGGAATTAGTTTGATACCCAGCCAGAGATCTGACCTTTCAACAATGAACTATAAGTCTTACCCAGGCCAATCAGGAAAAGAAAGAAAGAAAGAAAGAAAGGAAAGAAAGGAAAGGGAAGAAAGAGAAGAAAGGGAAGAAAGAGAAGAAAGGGAAGAAAAAGAAGAAAGGGAGGGAGGGAGGGAG